CCTGGCTCGTCCTCTAGCTCGTTTCCTCACACTCCCACTGCCAGCACTATGGGCGGTCTCAAGATCGGCACACAGAACTCGACGAACACACCTCCGACGCCGTCAGTGCCGCTATTCAGCAAATCTGTTGGCCCTGGCATTACTCCCGGCCGATCAATCAGTCCTCAGCTGAAGAAGTCAATGAGCAGGCCTTCGGTACGCCCAGAATCTCCTGTACGAAAATTACAGATGACCCCAGGACCGAGACCATCACTAGCAACGCCCGGAAAAGTGCCTTCCAAATACAACTCTCCTGCCCCGAATCGCTTCGCGCAGAGTGTTCGCGGAACGGCTGGAGACCCGAGCAAAGGTCCACGTTTGGATAGGAAGCCAAGTGTTGGTCCACGCAGTGCCTCTGCTCTTGGCCAAACGTCAATGTTTGACGAGGAGCCGATGCCTCAGCCACCAGCCACTCTACAGCGAACACAGACAAACGGAAGCACCAATTCGGTATCTTCATATAGCTCAAAATTTAGAGTGCCATCGCGGGCTGGAGCCGGGTCAAGGGCCGCATCGCGAGCACAGAACGACGATGAGGTTGACCGGCTTAGAGCACAACTGGATGACCGCGAAAGGCAGTTGAGGGATCAAGCATCTACGTTGGCGGAGATGGAGAGCAGTTTGACCGAGCTTCAGACTCTTATGGAGAGTTCGGATCTGTCAGCACCCAAGCGCAACAGTCTCGACGATAAGGATTCGATGCAACTTCGCGCACTGGTCAGAGAAAAGAACGAGAAAATTGCGATGCTCACTGCCGAGTTCGACGCACACAGAGCCGACTTCCGAAGCACCATCGACACCCTCGAAATGGCGAGTTCCGAAACCGAACGAGTGTACGAAAAGCGCATTGATGAGTTGATGATGGAGATGCGTGAGCTCGAATCACGGACCGATGACGTCGATTCCGTTGCTCGTCAGTTGAAGCAGCTCGAGGAGTTGGTTCAAGAGCTCGAAGAGGGTCTTGAGGACGCACGACGCGGCGAAGCTGAAGCAAGAGGGGAGGTCGAATTTCTCCGTGGTGAAGTCGAGCGCACACGAACCGAGCTGCGCCGGGAGCGCGAAAAGGCCTCGGCCGGGATCAACGGCGCCCCAGGTTCTAGCAACGGGGACCGTGGCTCCGTTTCCAAGGAGTTGGAGCAGAAGGAAGACGAGATTCGGGGACTCAAGGCGATTATCCACTCTCTCAGCCGCGATTCTGTTCCTGGGGCCGACAAAGCTGAGGACCCCTCCGTACGCGAGAATGCGATGGCTCGTGAAAGGCTGGAGCTCGAGCTGGCAGAGCTCAACGATGTTGTGAAAGACAAGAGCCGTCGTGAGGAGGAGCTCGAGCGGGAAGTGGAGAGGCTTCGTAGAGGAAGCGTCACGACTCAGCTCGCTGGGCCTTTGGCCAACGGGGGTGCTCAGCGTTCTTCACTCCGCGATTCTCGGGATACCGTCATCCTGATGCGTAACAGCGAGCCCCAGTCTCCTACGGCGACGCACAAGCGTGTTCGTACACTGGACACGATGCCCGAAAGCGACGCCTACTCGTCAGTTACGGATAATAGTACTCTCTGGTGCGAAATTTGCGAGACTGGCGGACACGATATCCTCACTTGCACCAACATGTTTGGCAACGAGGGTGGCAAGACCAACGGCGACGCCAGCAAAGTCAGCAAGGAGGACCTGAAGCCCATCCCCGCCGAGGACAAGCCGGCTCCTCTGTCGCCCATCAAGTCCAAGCCACTTGCTCCTCCGCCAACCGTCAAGATCTTCCCGAACCCGATGGATTCCGGCCCTGTTGCTGGAAAGGAGAGCGGGATTGTTGACGTCTCCAAGTGGTGCGCTCTGTGCGAGAGAGATGGACACGAAAGCGTCGATTGTCCATTCGAAGATGCATTCTAGGCGGATGGGCTTTGAATCTCGACAGCAAGCGTTGTCTTGTGTTGAAGGAAGGGCACGGCTACTCTGGTGTGCCTGTCTTCAACGGTCTTTCAATGTCAGGGTGCGGTATATCCCATTTTGTGTAGGATTCACGGGCAGCTAGAGCGATGGAAGTCTGTTTTTCGTTCGTGATAGCATTTGTAGCGATGATACCACAGCTCGATGAGAATTGTGTTTCGCGGAGTTGGATTCGCATGTCGAAGCCAACCAACAACAGGGGTTGATGGCATGAGGTCATTGGCTTTGTTGACTTTCAGTTCACCCCGAGAGGTTTCTATAATACTAATAGTAGTAGACCTTAAAACATGAATAATGAATCCATTGCAGACACCCAAGAACAGCATCAGACAAGCGATCCATGACAGATTCCCGCGGGCTATCAGCAGAGAAGTTTATATGACCAAATGTCCTCAGAGGAAGGGATGCATTCAGACGACAAGGGTATTCCCGTCGCTGTCGGCCGGGGGCCCTTCGATGTTCAATGCCGCTCTTTAACGTGTGTGCCCGTCCACGTTTCTCCACCTCAGAGGGTCCCCTGGTTGCGTTTCACGGCCTCTACGCACGACGGGAGTCGTACTTACCACGAATCCTCAGCAGGGCGCAGCCCAGAGTAGTGGGACTCGATGAAGTAAGTACCTAGGTAGTTGATCTGATGTTTCTGGGAAATCGCCTCAGATCTTGTCAAGGTTTTTTCGTCGTAATTTTCCTCTAATTCCCATTGAGAAGAAGTTTCGATCCAAATTCATTTTCATTGCTTGCAGCGAGCGAGAAAGGGTTGCATTCCTTTTTCCCAACGACTATAGTGTACCTTGTCCGTTTCCTTGATTGCAAGACTCGACAACGGCCCTCCCGAGTCCCGTGTTCACCGAAAGCGGATCCTTGGACTAATACCTTAGCACCCACTGGACCGAACCGCAGCACTACGGACCTGCGTCAGCGTCCCCGTCAGCTTCAGGTTCACTGCCCACTTTGGTTACCGGGGGGAAAGCAAGCAAGCAAGCAGCAGCAAGTAAGCAAGCTAGCTAGGTATTAGCTGTCCTGATTCTTGTTCCTCCCAATCGCGCGCCTACGCAAAAGAAACTCACGATTTCGCAGTAAACGACCTATTGAAGCCTTTTCCTCTCTGTTGGTTTTCTTGTCGGCGCAATTTCAATCGCGAACTCTGTCGACAACACTTCTGTCTCGTTTGACACGGACTCCCAATTCCGGGTAAAGAGTACGCTTTCTCTCGAAGTGTCCGATCACCACTACCTACCCGATCAAGAACGGACGACCGCTGCGCTCAACTCAACACCAACAATCACGAACTCGAACGACACCCCTCAATTGCTGTATTATACCGGGCTGAACTCCCCGTCGTCTTACGCAACAAAAATACACAGCAGCCCAAGATGGCGCAAATATTCCTCGACGTGCTCTACTCCTTTGGCAACTGCCTCAACTGCTTCCCCGGCTCGCCGACACTCAAGATCAACAGCCGGAGCTTCAAGATCCTCCGCCTGCTGGGCGAGGTAAGCTCTCGCGATCCGTCTCTCTCTCTTCATTCTGCACAAAACTAGACTCGTGCTAATCACTATGACGAACGGACAAACAGGGCGGCTTCTCCTACGTCTACCTCGTCCAAGACACCCAAACAGCAGAAGAATTCGCCCTCAAAAAGATCCGGTGCCCCTTTGGCGCAGAATCCGTCGCCCAGGCCATGAAGGAAGTCGACGCCTACCGGCTCTTCGCCCGCAGCCCGGGCATCATCCACGGCGTAGACCACGCCATCGCCACCGAGCGCGGCGGCGAACCCGGCTCCAAGACCGTCTACGTGCTGCTCCCCTACTACCGCCGCGGCAACCTCCAGGACCTCATCAACGCCAATCTCGTCAACCACACCGCGTTTCCCGAGCGCAGACTCATGCTCTTGTTTTTGGGGGTGTGCAAGGCGCTTAGGGAGATGCACCATTACACTGGCGGCGGCGGCGGCGGCGGCGGGCAATCGCAACAACAGCCTTCGGCGATGGAGAGGATGGAGATGGGCAACGGCGACGAAGAGGACCAGGGCGCCGGGCCGAAACGCAAGAAGAGCGGGAAGAAGAACAAGGGCGGGAAGCGCGTCGCCAGCATGGCCGCCGCCGCGGGTGCCGACGAGGAGGACGAGAACGAGCAGCAGAGGCCGCTGATGGAGGGCGAGACGCCCGGGTCCGGAGACGTAAAGTCGTACGCGCACAGAGATATCAAGCCAGGTTCGTTCCCAATTCCCCGACCCTCGAATTCGCCAGGGCACGGCATGCTCAGTACTAACAAAACGGGACAACAAAAACAGGCAACATCATGATCGACGACTCAGGCTCGAACCCAATCCTAATGGACCTAGGTTCCATCGCCCCCTCCCCGATCCCGATAACATCCCACTCCCTCGCCATCGCCGTCCAAGACACGGCCGCCGAGCACAGCACGATGCCCTACCGCGCCCCCGAACTCTTCGACGTCCGCACAGGAACCGTCATTGACACAAAAGTAGACATCTGGTCCATGGGCTGCACCCTCTACGCCTGCCTCGTCGGCAAGTCCCCATTTGAGGCCCGCTCCGACGAGACGGGCGGCTCCCTCAGCATGTGCGTCCTCGGCGGCGACTGGCGCTTCCCTGACGAAGGGATCAAGCGCACCGGAACTAGCGGCGGCATGAAGGGTAAAGCGGCCGCCACGGACGCCGGGGCGGGCGCCAGCGAGGTGAAGATCAGCGAGCCGATTCGCGATGTCGTGAGGAAATGTCTCAATGTTGAGCCTACCGAGAGACCAGACGTGGACGAGCTCATTGACTTGGTGGAGAGCGTTATTGAGAACTTGCCTCAGGACGGATCGTTGTGAGTGGGGGTAGGCGGTCCCAAAGACGAACATAGGAGGAGGGGGTTGCGCAGAGTGATGTATTGTATAATGATGTTTCATACTTCTACTATTCCCAGGGAAGATTTGATAGGCTTCATGTCACCACGGCGTTCTAAGGAGGGCGCATGTAGGGAAATGAGTTAGAGAGATATTCTGTTTTTTTTCTTTTTCAAGAGTTTTGCTGAAGTACAGGTATTCAGGTCCCAGACGCCTATTTAAAGTCTTCGTTATCCATCACAGCGCCCCCTGACACAAGTGTACATACTCATGGTCCAAGATCTCACTCAAGGTAACGATCTCGCTCAAGGTGGAGGCGGGCTGTTCGTTCACATCGTCATACTCGTCCTCATCCGACAGACACTCGTGGTCGAGACCGCAATCGCTCAAGGCTTCATCCTACAACTCGAGGCGGTAGGTTGCGATCTCAAAGGGTCGCAGAGTAATCGAGAACTTTCCACTCTCAATCTTGATCTCCTCAATGTCGTCCTCCAAGAGGTTACACTTGAAAACGCGCTTGACGCCCCAAGTCGTCTCAATGACGCCCTTGCTCTGGCCGCCGAGACTGTCGTACACACGCAGGATAACGTTGCGTCCCTTGCGTTTGGGAAGCTCCCCACGCGTTACGTCCTCGTCGTCCTCGCCACGCTTGACGGTGTCGAGGATCAAAGAGCCATCGCCAGTGAGCTTCACGGGGCTCTTGCTGAGGGATGCCTGCACGGCACTGGGCGCAGAGAGTAGCTTCAAAGGGCTGTTGAAGGCATAGGCTGCTCGCACAGTAGCAGAGCTCAGTGTTCCTTCATGGGGGAAGATTGCCCAGCGAATTTGGTGAGTTCCCATATCAGCGTGAGCATCAGGAGCCTTAGGTGACCGAAGAAGAGAGAGACGCTGCAGGTTGCCAACAGTGGCGAAACCATACTTGCTATCGTTTAGGATGGAAACTCCGTAGTTGTGCTCTGAGAGATCAGCGAAACGATGGCAGCAGACCTCGAACTTGGCCATATCCCAGCTGTAGAATTCATTAGCAATAGTTTCTTCAAAAATATTCCAAGAAAAGCATACCTGGTGTTGTAGTGAGTGGGTCGCTTCACAAGACCATACGCTGTTTCATACGAGGCCTCAGTGTTTCTGACGTCCACAGGGAATTCGACCTTGAGGAACTTCATGGTCTCGTGCCAGTCAACTTCAGCACTGCACTCAACCCATGATTGTTGCCCCTTGAGAGCGGCCGAGAGAATAATGGTGGATTTAATCGAACTCTCTTCGCTGATCTTAATCTGAGTAGTCAAGCTGACGCGATGGGCCTTTTGCTCAGTGATTGAAGTTGTGCCGGACGGGAGCTCCTTTCGTGTGTCCAGGTGGTACACCTCAACATCCCAGGCTTGCCAGTAGAGAGGCTTGTCATCAAAGATGACATATTGATTGGCCTTGCCGCCCTTCGCAATCACCTCGCGATCGGCATTGCGGTCGTAGAGGGATGTAATAGTGCCATTCTCGACCTTGACCTTGAGCTGATCGTTCTGCAAGACGAATACACCGCTGCTGACTTCTTCAATCGTCACAGCCGGTTCTTCTTCAGAGACCTTGAAGGGACGAATGGCCAACAATTGGCCGTCGCCACAGGCAACGCCTGCCTCGTTCTCGGAAATTTCGACGACCTCCTTTCTGTGCCAAGGGAGAGTGTTCAGGGCTACGGTCTCACTCAGACGACCGGTTGTGGCAGTGGCCGCTCCAAAGACGCCGTGGATGTCCTCAAGAATCTTCTTGCCCGTCTTGAAGACCATGTCGTAGAGCTAGCCAGTCTTGTCAGCAATTATTCAAAGTGTTTTGTGGTGTTGCGGCTTACCTCGTCTGAATCATCATAACACATCTCGATGGAGCTACCTGGAAGACAATCGTGGAATTGGCAGAGCAAGACGGCCTCCCACATATCGTCGATCTCCTTCTTGGGATACTTGTAGCTCTTGCTGGTATCACTCAGCGTCGCAATAGTGGCAAGCAGTTCAACTTCTCTGAGCAGAACCTCCGACTTGCGGTTGTTGAGCTTGTTGTTCGCCTGCGTAGTGTAGGTACCGCGGTGAAGCTCAAAATAGAGCTCACCGTACCAGGTGACAAATTCTGTGGCTTTCGGCTGGAGCTTGTCGAAGAAGTCATCGACGCTGTTGCCCATTTGCACTCTAGGCAACATGCCAATCTGATCGGATATACCGCGACATCTGCGGAGCTTTTCGAGATGTTGCCAAGTAGGGCCGCCACCACCATCGCCCTTTCCGAACACAAGCAAGGAAGTGTGATCCTGGTCCATTGACTTGTGCTGGCTGACACTACGCTTCACGTCGCCAAAGTGTGCTTCGGCAGTGTAGGTCTCTGAAGGCGGCATGTGGCAGATTACCTGGCTACCATCAAGAGCAACCCAGTTGAAGGTGGTGTGTGGGAAGTTATTGATGTTGTTCCAGCTAAGCTTCTGGGTGAGGAAGCGATTCATGCCAGCAAGGCGGCACAGCTGCGGAAGCTGGGCAGCGTATCCAAAGGTGTCGGGAAGCCAGAAGGTCTGGCAACGCTCGCCGAAGTTGCTCTCGAAGAATCTCTGTCCGTACAGGAATTGTCGCACAAGGGACTCTCCACTGGGCATGTTGGTGTCGTGCTCGACCCAGCTGCCTCCAATAGGGTGGAATCGGCCCTCCTTGACCTTCGTCTTGACACGATCAAAGGCGTAGGGGTAAATCTCCTTCAGCCACTTGTATTGCTGGGCTTGCGAGCAAGCAAAGTTCAGCTCCGGGTATCGGTCCATCAAATCGCACTGGTTAGACCAAGACCTGACTACTTTACGCTTGGTCTCAGCCCACGGCCAGAGCCAACAGCTGTCGATATGACAATGGCCAATGCCGTAGACTTGAGGCTCTTTGTCATCGCTGTAGACCTTGTGCGAGTCGACATTCGAGCCAAGGTACTCCTGGGCGATCTTACGACACTTTACGATGGATTCCTTGTTGCCGAGCTCAAAGGCGTCAATGACGTCGGTGGCAACCTTGAGAGCTCTATGCTGCTCCCACGAGTCCTGAGGAAACTCCCGCGCAGCGTCGCCAATGATCCAGATATCGAAGTAAAGTGCTCGTGCTTCGGGGTTGACAGCAACTATGTCAGCTCGCCCAAGTTGGAAGTACTTGTTTGGGTCTGGAGGCTGGATCGAATCTCCACCGGGAGCGTTTCCGAACATGCCATTGCAGGCCATCTCGATGTAGATGGTGTGTTCCTTGCCGTCCCTGAACTCCTTAGGCAGAATCCATTCTACCCGCTCGCCGCCCCCAGTAAGACCCTGCAGCGGCTTGCCATCCTCGGTCCAGATGAGGCCTTCATTATTGGCATCCCAGTGGAGTTCAAGGAGGTCCTTGTCACAAAGCTCTTTTGGAACGGTCAAGGTAACCTTGAACCAATGTGTCGACCACGATGGGCCGAACCATGCACCCACCTCGGTCTTTTTGAATTCATGCGAAACAGCGTCCTTGAATGTCGGCCGAGTGGTTTCGGGTGCGTCCCATACGGACAGCTTAACATGAGGTTCGCCCGATGCGGTGCCCTCCGTCATCATGCTATAGCGCAGTTAGCGGGACGTTCCCCAGCTTTACTACGGGGCCTGGTGGGGGGTTACGCACGCCAGGAGGTTGTGCTTCTCCCATTGTCCGGTAGAGTAGAATTGGTTAATTCTGTCCTTGTAGAGCTTTGAGATCCATTGTCCGACAGGGCGAGATGCGAGAGCTGGGTAAGAGCTCTTGCTCTTGAGTTCTTTTCCGCCGCCCATGATGGTCTGTCCAGCGAAGCTATCGAGTAGCCGGTCTCCGGACTGTTTCAATTGCTCGACGGGACCAGGTGGAGCTGATCGATTGTTCAATCGACGAGCACGATGGGGCACCGATAAGTGGTGATGATCGGGTCGCGAAGTAGTTGGAGGTGGACCGGCGCCTTGTTCTTCTGAAGACTGGGGAGCTCGAAAGGCGTCGTTGAGATGTTGATTAAGGACTTTGGAGTTGTTCTGACTATGAAGGAAGGGTGTTTGTGTTAGCTTTGACCTCGGGATTGTCTGAAAGCAGAGACGGACTCGAAGCTCTTGAGGGGGAGCTAAAGCAGAGCACGGGAGTACCCCTGCAGTACAGATAGACAGACACTGAAACACAGCCAGTAGGAGCGTGCGGGGACAGCTCGGTGCAGCAACAAGTGCGGGGAGGTTGGGCAAAGGATGGGCGTGTGATAGAGGTGACGCAGCCATCATGCGATCCCCCTTGGATAAGCTAAGTAGCCGGAACGCTGGGTGGAATATGCTCGACGGATCGTCCACCATTAAGAGCACCTATGTAACATACCTCATCTTGTTGATGTAGTGATACGGATACAGCGCTCGGCGGCTGAGAGGGGAAGGTGACGGTAGAGAGGATTGTTCACAAGACCGGTGTTAGAATCTTGATTCGATACCCGGGTCGAAATAGCCGGAGCGAGAAGCGCTGCGGACGGAGATGAGGTAGCCGAGTACAATGAGGATATGCGAATGGTCACCTAAAAGGAGTAAGGGCCGTTGTAGAAACGAAAAAAGAAACAATGCAGAGCATAGCTTGTTATTGTGAGGTGTCGAATGCTACCTTGCGGTAAATGTGAGGTTGATGAATGGGTTCAGTGACAAGCCAGAGTGCAGTCGGTGTAAGTCATCCTCTCATAGCTATTCAGCGAGTGCACCTACCCAGATCAAGCCGGCATGTACAGATCAGGTGCGGCTACCCTCCATCAATGCACTTGAAACTTAGGTTCCTTGAAGGTCAACCAAGCAGCTATCGCAGTCCGAAATGCACCTGCTGTGTCTGTAGCGGGCGAGTACGTAGTGCTCGTGGAACACGCAACCCGGAGTCATAACCACCGACGATTGGGGCTCTGCAGTCAACCACCTACCAAACAGCCAAGTCTCTTAATCAGATGCAAGCTCCTACTTCTCATCATCTAGGTGAAATATATTTATTCCCCATAGTCCTTTTCAACTTTGTAGATTATTCAACCGGCCAATAATAATCCAAGTGGTGAGAGGGAGAAAATCATGTCAGAAGTCAGAGTGCATAGTCTATACGTATTCGCACCGCCGAGTTGGATATCGTAAATAGTTCCCCAGCATTCAAACGCAACACCATGCACCACAGCGTGATAAAAAGTGGTCTTGTGAGCTCGAGACGCAAATGCAGTTACACCAATACAACTACAAAAAGAGGTCATATCATTGGGGGACATCGGACTGGGCAGGTGTCAATTCTGTACGCCCTCGCTTGCATGTGAGGTAGAACGAGGTGGATATCCGGGGCAACCTGTAGTGTGTAGGCATGCAGATGCGTGCGCATATCGCTTGTCAGTCAAATGGGGTACCGCCGCAGCTTGATCGATCACGATTCACCAGTTCGAGAGTCCGAGGGCATTCTTTCGAGGGGGCGGCCTCCACAAACCATGGGCAAAAGAAGAGCTCCGGAAAATGTCAACCGAAGGAAGTGGCGCCAAAAAAAGACAAGCCCAATTCCAGTTGGTCGGAGGACATGGGTTGCTGTTCGTAAGCGAAAGACGATGGTTCGATTGTTCCGCGAGATTCAAAAATCTGGTGTCCGCCAACATACGATCCCCGATTTAAAGTTTCCCCCCATCTGCTTCAGTCACTTTGCAAGTTCGCAGGCAGAGGACTGTCAGCTCTTGAGATGATGCACGCCCTCACTCATCAGCTGAAAATTGTGCAATGGGATGAAGTTGGACTTTTTGTAAGAATATTCGTCTTTGTTTCCTGCAGACGCGGTCCAGGATATATAGATACTATGTGCAGAATGGCCAAAATAGCAAGGTATGTAGATCGCCCAGGGTAACTATTCTAATCGTCACATCGTTGTCCATGCCCGCCGTTGAACGCCACACATTTAAAAAAAAAAAAAAAAAAAAAAAAGCAAAGAGCCGGGAAAGAAGCAAATCAAAAGACCCCAAACACCAACTTCAAGATGACAAGCCGGAGTCCTTGCCCCGGCTTCCAGTGCCGGTGCCCGTACCGCGGTGAACGAGTTCGGAACCATCCTCCTCGCCATCTTCATCGTCCAATTCCAGTTCATCTTCATCGTCGTATTCTTCAACCTCGCCATCTTCGAGCTCATCCTCCATGAGCTGATCAAAGTCGTCATCGGCTTCGCTCTCACTCTCACTTTCGTCCTCCTCGAAGCCTAGCACGCCGAGGATGGGCACTTCCACCTTGCGGTACTGGCTCCTAATCATGTTGTCCGCCATCTCAAATAGCTTGGAGTCCTTGTCCGGTGGGACCTCCCTGTCCATGGAGAAGTGGGCTTCCTCTTGGTCAGCGAGGTCGTCGACCCCCGGGATGTGCGGTGATGACATGCCCTCGGGCACATTCATGACCCAGCGCCGGACTCCTTCGCCCTTTGTGACACGGGACCGGGTGCTCTGCGCTCTCAGCCCGGTGCGGAACTGTTTCTTTTGCCTCCGGCGTCTCCGCTGGATCCGATCGCGGATGTACCACGCCACCACCAACATGGCTGCCTGCATCATCTCTTGACACTTTTGCCTGTGCATGTTGGCCCAAGCCTGGCATCTTTGCTGCTGCGCGTTGGAGATAGCCTGGCAGCGTTGCTGGTAGTAGGCGGCGATGCGTGATACCATGGCGATATATCGAGGATCCATGGGCGGCTGGTTCGGGTCTGCATTCGCATTCGGAATCGACGTCGGCTTTGGCGGGACCATGGACGGGTTGTTTAGTGATGATTGCTCCTTCTTCATTGTGACATGATCGTTGGTGATGTTGGCCTCGGCGGCCTTGCGTTTCAGCTGAGCAGACAGGGGAAGTGCGGGTTTCCGGAATGAGAGATGCTCAGGCGGAGGTGTAACGGGAGCTAGAGGGTTGAAGTTGATCGTAGGGAGATGCGCCGCCATGAAGGGTGGTTGTGTCGTGAGTAGCTTTGCTCTATCGTGGTATATGGTGTAGTTGGTGTTTGGTGTTACTACGGTTGAAATCGTGAGTGAACCGGGGCGTGTAAGCGGGTTCGCTCTTGGTTGTCGATCGATAAAACACGTTCGGGACAGCAACGGGAGGGATAATAATGTCTGATATCCAAGTCCTAGACAACTCGTAGGATAAGGCACTCGATAGTGATAGATAATAGACAGGTGAGTCCGGGAGGATTGAGGATCAGGCAGGAGTCGTAGATGTTGGGAGCGGCGGGAGTAATAGTAGTGGTGGTGGTGGTGGTAGTAGTAGTGTTGGTAGCAGATGAGACGGATAAGGGTGGGATCCGCTGAAGACAGATAGACAGGCGAGGTAGACGTATCAAACCAAGTGCTCGGTAGGAAATGAGGGGTGACTGGCTAGAAACGGGGGGCACAGAAAAAGAGATATATACCTACAAGGCGATATTTCAAATGCAAAGGGCGACATGACGGCGCATGTTGCCATGTTTGGGCCAAGGGTCTGATGATAAATTTGGAGAGTGAGCGGGAATGGGCTGAGAAGGGGTCGAAATCGGCCGATACCGAATGGCAACCGCGCCGTACTTTTGGGGCCAGGCCCGGTACGTACCCCACGTACTTCGATGCTGTAGGGCGGGCGGCCCAGGTACTTTCACCGACTTGTTGCAACTCCGCTTACAACGGCCATCCCGTGAGCTGCGGGTGGATCCTCTTCTTTTTTTCCTTCTCAACTCCTTCTTCCGTCCGTTGCTCTTTCTCGTCAAGCGGACATAGGGATTAGGGGGATGTTTCTTCCTTCCATTACCGTGGTCCATAGTGTAGGTACTTAGTCACAGGTCGAGAGCCTATAAGGTAAGCACGTCAGGTAGTTACGGTAGGTACGGTAGGTACATCTAGGTAAACTGGTAATGGAAGGAAGGTATCCGGAAGGGCGGTCAAATTGTTCTTTCCGTCGAAAAGCGATGTATCCGGTGCAGGTGAGGTAAGCAGTGGGTGGCATTATTGTGCTTACACGTCGCAATCCTCCGGGCCCAACCTCATTTCTCCTCACCTTGGAAAGTCGGACTGAGCGGGTGGACTGTCATCCAAGCATCATCCAGTCGCCTGGTATGAGTGTGGCATGCTACGATCCGAACCATCCATTTCCCCATAATCCCATGTTACACTGTCGTCTGCCTTGCGTCCACATGCGCGCACATCCGACGATGCCCTCTCCAGGGTGTCAGACTTCAACAGCGGCTTCCAGAGCAAGCCACCCCATCATCACCCATGCCGACTCAGTAGCCACACTCGCACAACATCAACGCAACTTGCCTTTACTGAACTCCATCTTTTGTTCATATTGACTTTCTCGCCATTCCTTGACCCCCTTTGCAGCCCCGCGCGGCGCGGGTCGGGTCCTGGCATGCGGATTCTTTTCTCGATCCATCGTCAATGCCAAAACACACAACAGCCCATGTCTTTCCATCTAAGCCGAACATTCCCATGCCGCCGCAGCCATGTGCCCAGAATGCCAGACCCAGACAACGCCAGCACACCATACAGACACACAGCGTATCCAGCATCCGTACCTATACTAGCAATTTGTTGTCCGGTTAGGCACGCAAAGCTACCCTGAAAAGGGCGAGAAACGCAGGGTGCTGCCACACCATGGAGATTGAGTGTTCTGGGGTGGCGGCAACCTCTGGCCGTCTGCCCATCTTTGATTGTCTCCAGCCCACCGTCGTCCGCCTTCCTGCAAGCAGTCCCAGGCTCATGTATTCCCCCCCAATTGACCCAAAAGGGACACGGTGATGGATCCAGCTGTCCGTTGATCCCAATGGCCGGTGAGCCACGATATGGCCATGACCGCTGCGTATGATGCGACCCCCGCCCTGTCAATCTCAACATGACGGTGTAATCATTCGACCATCGCCCGCAGGACAATGCACTACAGCATCAGCCTCACCACCAACAGAGAACTAGCTCGCCTCTCAGTGGTTGTCTAGGCGCTGTTGGGACACATGGCACTGTGTTTCTTGTGCCCGGAAATCTTCCATTCGAATTTCGCTGACCTTCCTGCTCAGGCTGCTGCAGCGAGACA